TGTGTGTGTGTGTGTGTGTGTGTGTGTGTGTGTGTGTGTGTGTGTGTGTGTGTGTGTGTGTGTGAGAGAGAGAGAGATGTGAGCCTTCTCTGCATATTCCATCCTCATCTCTCTCCCTCTCTCTCTACTTTTCTCTCTCAAGGGTAAACTTGTGAGCATGAGTGTGTGTTTGTGTGTGATGATGTGGGTGCTATGTGGAGAGATGCAAAGAGATGAAGGGAAATAGAAAGAGAGAGAGACCCCCTTTCTTAAGTGTGTGTCTGTGTGTCATGTTGCGCCTGTGCTGGGACCCGTCGATAAAGCAGGAAACCCTGAGCATCACTTCCACTCCGGGGCCGAGGCGTGACATCCAATGTGACTAAGTGACTGGGGAAAATATTAGTTCCTGGTTGCACCCAGAGAAACGCAGTGGGGTTTTTGTTGTTCTTGTGCTTTTTTTTTTTTTCAAAGTTTTTTAGGCCAAAATGAGTCACAATCAGACTCCGGCGACAGCGGTGCTGGATGTGCTTTGAGGTGCTTGCAACCTAATTACCTAGTTTATTCTTGGAGTCTTTTATTATTAAATTGTTCATAGAGGGTATGATATTCTCTCCCCCTGCTCATTATGCATCCTGTTCTACCTACAATAGACGTTCTGTGGGTAAGCAGTGTTGTAGTCGCATCGAATTGGACTTCTAGGATTTCTCATGTGGCTTTTTAAAAACAACTCTACTCTGTTGGATTTAAAAAAAAACTTGTCAAAAGTTAGGGCGACATTTAATTAACACTTTCTTTGTGGGTGTTGTGTCACACGTGCCTGTAAGCAGGTACTTTTCTGGCATTTTAACCTCTTTTATTTAACCCTAAAACTGTAATATACTAAAGCTTTGGACTCATTTTTGAAATTGCAGTATCCCTTTGAGGTTAATTAACTGAAATTAATCAAAGTAATTAAGTAATTACCGCATAGTACTTTTTAATAAGGGGTATTTCGATGAGCAGCCTCATTTTGGGTTGGTGGATGCGACTTAATTATGTAAGCCTCTGCTTTTTTTGGCGCTTCCTTGACATTGAATCACTATAAGCATCTTAGACACCTGCCTGTAGTTCGGAGATGGTTTTGTTTGGGTGAAAGCAGCAGCCACCGCAGGGAATCTGTGTGTGTAGGAGGGTCAGGTAGTGGTGGTGTGGCAGAAGGGCTGCTGGAGCCCTGTCTTTACTCTCAACCCTCAGAACCCGGCTGAGATGAGAGCCGCAGACAATCGACAGTGCACCCTGCGGTCCGTACCTCGAGTGCTTTTAACAAATAAGGCCAGGAGGAGAGGGGGGCGAGCAGAACTGCAATAAAACAGACTGATAAAGCAGTCTGAACTCAGTCGGTGTGAGAAACACTCACAGGAAGGGTGGGCTATGGTAACGTGTCCGTATGATGCAATGAAAATGACATTTAACCGACGGTTTGTTTTTTATTTTATTCCTGTCGCCTTTAGAGATCTCCATTTAAATACTGTATGTGCAGCTCCGGTGGGAGCCGAATTGCCGACCCAGCGGTGTTAGAGCTGCGCGCTCTCTCCTGTTGAGCTGCTGATGACTAGACTGCCAAGAAAAGTGATATTGTGTGTCAGAATACCAGTATGAATGCAACAAACAACACATTTTTTTCCTTCCACTGCTTGAAAGGCAGTTTGTCTCCCTAGTTTAGCTTATGCATGTGGCTCGGATAACTCAGTGACAGACTAGAGCGCCAAATACGGTTTATCAGAGCAACATTCCCACCAGGTCACATACTTGATTACAACCAAAAGCAGTCAGCCGACGATGGGATTTTCCCTCCGCTTGCTGCCTATACTTAGCTGTCAGTCGTTCCAATAAGGAGATCTGTTTTTAAAATCAAATCAAATCAAAAGTGATTTGATTTGATTTAAAATAATAACTTTACTGTTTTGTTATATGTGAGCCCAGATAACCAAGTGTAGGACACCTTCAGAGTGGTGGAGTTCAGTGGTTCCACTGAAAACCTCTCGATCAGATCAGAGCAGCGTGGCTGTGCGAAGAACGGGTCGTGGTTGCCCATCTGTCAGTCACTGTTTCAAAGAAAGAGGATTGAATGATCTAAGAATGAGAGGAACATTAAAAAAAGGAGCTTTCATCGTTTATGTTTAGCCACAGCTTTATGATTAGTGCTCATTAATATGAAGCATTTAGTAAGAACTTAAGAATGTATTTTTCCTTTTTTTAACGATCAGCCACTGACAAAGTGTTTACAGCACCCAATTTTAGGCTGAACAACAACAACAAAAAAATCAGACCTGGGAAGGATGCAAGAAGAAACGATTGGAGCAAAAGAGAGAGAGATGGAGAGAAGCGATGGGGCTTTTAAGTTCCCCGCATCTTTTTGATGCAGCCTCTGCGCTGAAAGGCCATGGCAGATCAAACGGGGCAGGCAGATTGAAGTAGTTCCTCTTGTAAGGGGGAAGAGACGCTCCGACGCCGTGCAGATGCGACAGGTAACCGCGAGACGGAGGTGGGAGCCATTTTCGCACGCTGCGTAATTGGAAGCGCTCGCTTCCCCAGTTGAAAATAAGACTTGCAAAGGAGCTTTTTGATTATCGTTAGCATCGGCGTTTGGAATTTTCAAGCGAGACGAGCGGCAAGTGGGTGGGCGGGGTGGACGGGGGGGGGGTATTTCCTATCCGGGTGAGCGCGAGGATAATTCTGCCGCTGTTTTGTCAGCAATTAAAAGAATTCCAGCATCCCAATTTCTTGTGCTGCTGCTGCTCCAGACCACGCAGCTTGTATTTGTTGTCCCAAATGGCCAATTTCTGCCTTATGTTCCGTGCTGTCTGAACAGTTGAGGCAGCAAAATAATCTCTCTCTCTCTCTCTCTCTCTCTCTCTGTGTGTGTGTGTGTGTGTGTGTCTTTGTGAGCGTGTGCACGACCCCTATCTCCATGTGCAGCCAAACAAAATCCCTGAACTTCCTGTTCTTATGCAGCATCAATCCAATCAGCATATCCCCATGTTTCCCATACTCGGAAAAGTGTGTCTGGGAAATACACACACACGCACACTTGAATATCCTCCCTTAACCCTCCTTTCTCTCCTTGTATATATTTAGTGCTGGGCCAAGGTCAAAGTTGGAGTGCTTCATTCTTGCTTTTTCCGTACATGGCTTTCAGATGCAGATCTGTCTTCTGTTATCTGTAATCCTGGTTAGACTTTCCCTGGGCTATGGGGACGTGTGGGAGGAAGGTACAGCAGGGAAATGATAAAAAGGAGCAGAGGAAAAAAAGGATGACAGAAGGAAGGATAAGGTGGCTACAAATCTGTGACTTTTTGGGCATTGCACCTTGAATATTTAATTTTAACAGACATCAGTATGAGGACTTGATGCGCTATAAAAGGTTCCACTGTGATTAAAAAAAGAAGAGAGAGACTAGATGGAAGGGGTTTCCGAGTGATAGGTTTGTCTTATTCATCTGAAATCAACCCCCCCCCCCCCCCTCCCCCCTGCCAGCAATAGGTGAGCTTTAGTGATAAAGTACTCCTTTTCTTTGCCAGAGTGGGAGGAAACTGTACTATATGAAAGTCGAAACTCACAATCCACACAGCGTGACATAAAATAAATATCCAAAAAACAGATACAACACCTTTCTCTACATGGAGCTCTTGCTCAGTGTTTATGAAGCAGTTTAAATTTTGCTCTTGAGCTTTATCGCATCCTTTGGAGAGAGAAGAGAACGTAGGTGACATCAGAGAGAATCAGTAACAGCGGGCAAGGACCGATTTCGTTTTTTAAGTTGCTATAGTGGCACCATGAAAG